TTTGGGGCCTATTCTCTTTCTCTTTCTTTAAACATCAAGAGTATCTTCATTTTAAAGATAAAGAAGCTATGGATGGGAGAGATTTTATACTTTGTCCAGGATTCCATAGCTAGTGAGTGGCATAGCTGGAATGCAATCACAGGCCTGCCTCCCAGAGATGCGCAGAGGGCCGAGGGGCGTGAGAGCGTGGCTCCGGACTGTCAGGCTGAGCCTCCAAGTCACTCTGCCCTTTGCAAGAATTCTGTTCAGGGTTTTGATTGGCAGTTGATTGATTCAGAATCTTCTTTTTGTCGGTTTACATAAAGATGACCAGTTTCAGAGGGCTAATTGGTTTTAAACAAACTTGGAGAATAAATCAATATAGTAATTTATACATTAAAAAGTAGAGCAAGATTGGCATATATTATTGGCCTCTGAAAAACTTTGTTTATAGACCTACTCAGAAAATATTTTGGAACAAAGTTGTCTTGGTAAATATAGAATTTGAGCAAAAATGTGTATTTCCTTATTTTGGCCTTAGCACGCAGCTTACAGGATCTTGTTTGCTCAACCAGTGATCAAACCCACGGCAGTGAAAGTGCCAAGTCTTAACCACTGGACCTTCAGGAAATTCCCAAGTGTATTTTCTTAAAGCATATTCCTTTAGTTTTTTAATTAAAAAAATTTTTCTTTTGTACTAAGAGTGTTTCTGTTTAGATACTAATTGTTAGGTAGCGACGGTTAGAACAGGCAGCACCTTCCCATAACTGTACAGGAGACGCAGCCCACTGGTGCGTTCTGTGTCTTTGACTCTTCGCTGCTAAGACTGCACCGCAGAGACTCCCCGGCGGCCAGGTGGCTAAGACTCCGCCCTCCTAGTGCTGGGGGTCTGGGTTCAACCCCTGGTCAGGGAGCTTGACCCCACGTTCTGCAACTAAGAGTTCACATGCCACAGCAAAGGCTGAAGATCCTGAATGCCACAACCAAGAGCTGGCACAGCCAAATTAAAAAAAATAAAGAATGCATGCAGACATTTACTCTTCTACTCAACTCCATTCACTAAATCACACTCCACATATCCATTAAATCAGGGTTGATTTTAATAGACTATGATTCCTGTCCATCTGCAAATCCCCAAATCTAGGATTGTGCCCTTAAATAAATGAATGAGTGCATAAATTAGGCATTATTCTTGGTGAGATTTGGTCAATATTTTTTGCAATTTCTTAAACAATATTCTCGTTTTATCAGCAAAACTTTTAAAAACTCTCAGTCTTGGATGTTTCTTGGGGTGAGTGGGGATACTAGTTGCCTCTAAACTTTACATGTTCTTATTAGTTTCAGTATCAAAGAATCAAATAGTATTGTTAATTTTGTTTCATGTTACAATCACTTTATTAGTATATTAATTTTTAAAGTCCTCTTCTGGAGACACATATTGGAGTATTTTGTGGTGAAATGATATCATGTCCGGGATTTACTTGATAATATTCCAGGTATTCATGCATTACTTAGGAAATTCAGCGGTAAGAAAGTGAACAGAATGAAAAGTCTGATTTTGGTTTCAATTCTCATGTTGAATGCTTTTGTTTAACTAATTCCTGCTTGCAAATATTCTTACTTATTGTCTAAGGCAGAGACTTGTTAGCCAATCCACAAGAAATTTCTAATTCTTTTCCCCTCTCATTTACATTATAGAGGCTACAAAGGTTTGTTTCCAGCCTTTTTTGCAGTTAAGAGTAGCCAGATAGTAGCAGTTTGACCAATGAGATATAAGCAGAAATTGGCTGGATCTCCTTGGAAGATTTTTGCTTTGTTGATAAAAGGAAAGGATGTGGTTAGTTTTCCTTCTTCTATGCCTTCAACCTAAAAGTAATGTATGGAGCTACAGCAACCATCTTGCAACCATGAGGCAACAATCACTAGGAAAAAGGACAAAGGCATTAAACAAACTGTCTTTCATATCATCAAGTTTTCCAACAAACCCTAGTAGCCATCTACCTCCTAACTTTTTTAAAAAATTTGAGCAAATGCCATGATAACCCCTCTTAGCTGAAGTTTCTGTTTCTTATAGCAGGAGCCATGAAAAGTGAAAAGTGTGAAAGTTAGTCACGGAGTCATGTCCAACTCTTTGCAATCCCATGCACTGTAGTCTATGTCCATGGAATTCTCCAGGCAAGAATACTGGAGTGGGTAGCCATTCCCTTCTCCAGGGGATCTTCAATCTGGGTCTCCTGAATTGCAGGCAGGTTTGTACCCTCTGAGCCACCGGGGAAGCAGTAGGCATCCCTGCTGTTAATATTGCTAGATAGAAAGACAGAGCATGAGTCCTTATTTTTGGTTCTGGGAAACTGGAGCTTATAGATTCTGAAAGCTGTAGTCTTCCAAGCATAAGGCACTGTACAGTATATGGATTTGCATTTTTAAAGACCGATTAAAACACTTACCCATGATTTGAGAATTTAATTTTCTAAATGTTTGCAAATGTTGCAATTTAGGGTAAAATCTTGGGTGTTATTTTTTTTTTTTCTAACTGAGCTAGACTTTTATTTATACCTGCTCTATTTGTCCCGCTTGCCCACCTCTACCTGCTATTTATTAAAAGCCTTGTTACAGCCCTACAGATGCTATTCCATGGACAGAAAGATGAAGCAGCTCATACACAAAATTTACCAAGAAAACTTTTATTTTCAGCTAATTTTCCTGGCATATTGCCATGACCATCTTTAGACAGCTCCTCCTATACTCCTTCATTCCTGAAGTTTTTCTTCTTCACCAGCTTTAACTCTGCTCCTGGACTTGACAACATTCATAGCAGGCGGATGTTTGTGCTATAGAGAAGAAAGTTTCATACAGTTTCAGGTTGGAATATTAAACTAAAATGGTTACATAAAGTTAAGGAAAAAATATTAAGTTTGAATAAGTTTTGAGAACATCCTTAAAATGACTACCAGTGCTTTTGCAAGAAAAGTTTGCTTACTAAATCAATAGCAACATCACTGCCACTCTGCCTGGTGGACAGAAAGACCTGAAGACCCAGCCAAGTTTTGCTTTAGAGTATTTGTAACACAAAAAGCTAGTTTCCCAGAGAAACCATGTTAAAAGTGGGGGGTTTGTTTCTTGGACAGCACACCAAAATATCGTTTATTAAGGATGAATATGTTGGGAGTTTGGAATTAATGTATATACCCTAATATACATAAAATACATCACTGGGACTTCCCTGGTGGTCCAGTGTTTAAGACTCAGCACTTCCACTGCGGGGAACATGAGTTCGATGCCTAGTCAGGGAACTAAGACCCCATAAGCCATGCAATATAGCCAAAAATAAAATAAAATAAAATAGGTAACAAACAAGGACCTACTGTATAACAGAGAACTATACTCAATATTTTGTAATAACCTATAAGGGAAAAGAATCTGAGAAAGAATATATGTATATTATGTACATATAAATATATGTATTAAATATATGTGTATCTGAGTCACTTTGCTGTATACCTAAAACTAACACAACATTGTAAATCAACTTCAGTTAAAAAAGAATGACTATGAATGATTATAGGAATAAGAGTAATAATTACTATTACTGTGTTAATAATATTATTATTGATATTCATATTTTATTGTAGGTAAAAATTATATTTGGAGCTAATACATCTTTGGTTTTGTAAGAAATGTGGTCCTTAAATTCAAAGAGGATCCCATAGAACTCAAGAGTGGCACAGCATATTTTAAATAGTATATGTCATATATGTTCAATAGTGTTCCTGATTTTAAAAGTAACCTCAGCAGAAGCAGAACAGACAAGAAGAAAATAAACCTCACTCAGAATTTCACCAACTAGAGAGAGTTACCATTAACATTTCTGTTAATGTACATATATCTATTATATATATATATATAAAATTTGGATTATATTTAAAATACTATTTTGTAGACTGCTTTTAACCACTTAGTATTATGTTATAAGCATTTTCCCATTAAAATTTTAAGGCATGATTTTTTAAATGGGATAATACTTCAGATAATAAATGTAGCAAAACTTATAGTAGATCATTTCCTAATTTTCAGTTTTCCACCAGCACAAAACAACATAGTGACAAATATTTTTCAGTATTGCCGACAATTTTCTGAGATCAACTGTCATGTAAAATTACTGAGTCAAAATATGAGAATCATTCTGTCCAACGGCCAAAGGAATGACTTCATGAGTAGTCTAAGTAACCAAGGAACTGATAAAAACCGCAGTAACAAAGACACTTTTTTCATAAAAAGTTGCTAATAAAATGTATTGGAGAAGGAGGAGATGGGAATGAGAGAAAATAAAATGTCACTTGAATGTGAAAATGAACTATTAGGATTGTTCTTTATCAGTAGTTTCTCTCCAGAGCTGTGGAAACAGTATATACTTCCACCGAGGTATGTGGAGTGACCCTCTCACCACGCTGGTATTGATACTGTCAGGGGAAAAAACCTTGCCAAATTGATGGCTTTCTTATTCAAAAGTATCTCATTGTTGTCTAAATACAATTTTAAGTGATTTGATTATAAGCAAGTTTATATATCTTTATAGGTTCAGTAGTTACTTGTATTTCATCTTCATGAACTATCTGTTCAAATCCAGATGCAGATATTATAAGAATCTAGAAATTACATTTAACTCTAAAATACCTTTTATCAGATTAGATACAGTTTATCTAAATTTACAAAGAAAGTAAGCTAGATTATCTTGGCCACATCAAAACAGTAATCTTCGATTACTGTAAATGTAAACATTCAGTAGATCAGCTATCCTTACACAAACACTGAATTCATTTAAATATCATCACTTCTAGTGAATTTGGCATACCTTTTCACTCGATTACAGTGTAAACGCTTTCCATCCCTGCCTTGATGTGAACGTTGACATGGCAATGAAATAACCATGTTCCAACATCTCTTGGATACATTTTTAGAGTTTGATAGCTCCCAGGAGGAAGGTCATACACGTCAGAGCGAAACACTCCCATGTCCTCAACAAAAAGACAAACACAATTAAATGGCTTGTGAGAGATATCTGTCGTTCACACCTTCCGTTGCGGTTCAGCCTGTAAATCACGTCCGACTCTGCGAGCCCAAGACCGCAGCACACCAGCGTTCCTGGCCCGCACACCCGACTTCCCGCTTGCTCTAACTCCTCTCGTGTGTACTTCATCAGATGACGGTTAGAAAGCTCTAGGTGCCACTGAACCTCTCCTCGGAATACAGCTGAGAGCTTGGCGAAGGAAGTCCCAGGGCTTTTAGCGACAGGCCGCAGGAAAGACATCTCGCTCTAAAAGGGTGCCTGTGGCAGTGTAGGTTTTAGGTACCTTGTCGGCGTCTCATTCACAGTGCTCCAGGTTTCAGAGAACATCAGTTTCACAAATCCCAAATGTTCTCACTGAAATGTTTCCAACTAGGGATGTTGGTGACATGAATATGATCATTTTTCAAGGTGTAACTAATCAGGAAAACTCACAGTTTCAGGAAAGAAAGGAGCCACATCTCTGCTCTCTGGGGTTCAGCCCGAAGGCTGAGGCCTTAATGGCTAATTTCTCCCGTAAACAGAAAACCCGAGGTTTAGGAGACTGTCTCATCTGTAGGCTACTCTGATTTTGATAAAGGACGGGCAAGGCCTGGCTTGGATGGATTAGAAAAAGAGTAAGAGAGAATGAATTTCTCTGCATAATATTGACAGATGGGAGGTGTTTGGAGCGTGGGGGATGTGTTGGAGAGTGCAGCTCATGATGGGGTCCAGAATAATTTGAGGAGAGGAGAGAAGAGAATCAGGAGAGGAAGAATGAGGAGAAAGAAGTGTTGAGAGTGAGAGCAAAAAGCAAGAGAACCAGAGGTTCGTGGTGGAAGGATAATTAAAAACAAGGACATCTAATGTCACCTGATAAGAACAGTAACATTTTCACTGTGTAATAATAATAAAAGCCCTCTAACTTACCCCTCAAATTTCACTTGAAATCTGTGTCCTTGATTTTACGCTTGCACAGGTAAATCTTAAGTAACGGGGATATATTCCAATTTGGAGCTGCTCAGAGAGATGAAAAAATACCAGCCACAGGAGTTAGGGGAGAAGGCAGGAAGCTGAGCTGATGCAGTAAGTGAGAGCTGTAAATGGCGAGAAGAAATTTAGGCTCTTAAGATTGTGGAGAAACTGGAAGGTAGAGAGGAGGAAAGCTGAGCCATGTCCCACTGGAGGCAGAGTGGGGCCTTAAATCATTGCTATCTAGGGAAGTTAATTTTGCATCAAAGGTGACAATAATAAGGATGAAATGGATACATTTCTAAGATGTCAGAAAATTTAAGGAACGATATGAAACATTTTAAATGAATTGACAATGTCCAAGGCATGCACGAGGTCCTGGGAAATGCACTGTCTGTACCTGGAAATAATTACGAAGGAAATCGCAGCCTTAGGGAATAGGAGGTGCCTGGCTGGTTTGTCCAAGACCCCGTCAGTAACCCAGAGGGCCGCTCTGCTGTCCCTAGATGTCCCGGGGAGTAGATCCCAGCAGCTGGGTCAGTGCTGGAGTAATTAAGGTCAGCCTCAGTACCGTCTTTCTAGATTCCATATATGTACGTGTGTTAGTATATGTTTGTTTTTTTCTTTCCGACTTGTTTCACTCTGTATATAATTATGATCGATTCGTGCTGTTGTATGGGAGAAACCAACACACTGCTATAAATCAATTATTCTCCAATAAAAAAAGTTTTTAAATAAAGATGAATTCAGCCTCAAGGGAAGGGAAAGACTACTTGTGGCCCTCCGTGATGAGTTCAGAACGGGCGGCTAGGGCTGGTAACTGGCGGTGCCAGTCTGCATGGCACAAACTGGATCACTCTAGAGGGAGGCAGTTTCGTGAAGAGGCTGAGTGAGGGGCTCGGAGCGAGAGCCAGGGGTTCAAATCCTAGGTTTAACTCTTCTCGCTTGTAGGAAAGTTCTTCATCTTGTTCTCGTGTGGGTTCAGTGAAAAACCCATTAACTTGGAGATAGAGGTGGGATAAAATTGAAAATACTTATAGTAAACTAGAGAAATAGCCATCAAGAATGGTCAGTTAGAAACAAGTGTAAAGAATTATGACAGGTGGAGTGATGGGAAACAATTCAGACAGAAGCTATAAGGAAACTAAGAAATCATAAGTAGAAAAAGATGGCAATATAATAATAATAAAATAAAGATACTGTAAAGCCACTTCACACCTAGTCCCATATTTTAATTTTATAGCAAATGTTAAAAGAATGACAGAATTGGAAAGTCACCATTTGGAATCCCCATTAGAAAAACTGAGTCAGGCAAGGATCATCAATGGATACTTTTTTAAACTATAAGATGAAAAGCTGTTGTAATAAACTACATAAAGATCACCTCACAGATTACTAATTAGTTACAATAGGAAAGTGATACTTTCAAAATGGGGAGAATGGTCCCCATCACCTTCAGAAAGTTATCAAACTTTAGCCTTCACAGCATTAGGACCTGTTGACACTGTACCTCTTGATGTTATATATGAGAAGTACCCAGCATCGCCTAGGTAATGTTCTTGCCAAAGGGGTTTGACATGGATCCAATCACAAGGAAATGATCAGAACAATACAGAATATGGCACATTCTACAAAACTGGCCTGGACTCTTCAAAAATGAAATATCATGAAAGATCAGGGAAATAAAAGTCATACGGTATCCTGATTTTAGGAAAGATATTCAATTGGTAAAGAATTTGCCTGCAATGCAGGAGACCTGGGTTTGAGTCCTGCATTGTGAAGATCCCCTGGAGAAGGAAATGGCGCCCCACTCCAGTATTCTTGCCTGGGAAATCCCATGGACAGAGGAACCTGGTGGGCTACAGTCCATGGGGTCACAAGACTCGGACATGGCAGTGACTAAAACCAGCATGACATGAACAACCAGATGCTAAGTATAAATGATTAGATCTGGGATTAAAAGAAAAACCATCACAACTAGCATTTTGGGGCCAACTAGTGATATTTGAATGGACTGTATGTTAGATTATATTATTCAATGAATGTTAATTTGAAGGGTATGATAATATTATTGTGGTTGAGGCAGGATTGTCTTCATTCTTAGGATACACATGCTTTAGTATTTAGGAGTGAAGAGTCATGATGTTTGCAATTTACTTTCAGTTGGATTCAGAAAAAAAAAAACCAGAGAGAAAGCAAATGCAGCAAACATGTATAGGAGTGTTCAAGGTATTTTCCTTTTCTGTGACTGAGAGTTTGACAATTAAAAAGATAATTGGGAAAGAGGGGTTACACTAAAGATGATTATAGATATTTTATTTACTTATTGAGAAACATCAGAATGGAATAAGAAATGCAATTCATGTATTCAGAACCTTTTATCAAATGTCTGTGGGCTATAAAAAGCTAAATGTGTAACTGTCACAGCAGACATACTGCAGATGGCATGTAACGCACTTGCGTTCTGGTGTGGTCATGTCCTTTCTCTCTCCGGTTATCTTTCTATGCTGCCCCAATAACAAGGTCCTTTGTGATTAAAAGGAGCTGCCCAGGTCTCTTACCATGAAGATAAAGCTGTGGCCATGAAAGTGAGCTGTGTGCAGGTCAGTCTGATCCCCTATGCCAATCAGGTACCAATTCACTTCACTCCCCACGTGAAATACCAGGCCTTGGTTATTTCCAAACATTCTTCCGTTAATGGCTATGGGGGGAGAGGGGGACACAGTTTGTTATATTCGACAAGGATTTGAAATAATATGTTTTTTTTAAAAAACACCTTATAGAAAGCATCATGATGTTTTCAGAGGCCATGAGGGTTTTCGAGATAGCCTAAGGATGCTGTCAGACATGACCAAGCCACCCTTTCACGAGTGTGTCTGATGCTGGAGAGTTTTTCCTTGCCCGAGGAAATGAGGCACTGACTTTAACATAATTGGGTTGTTCTAGAATAATTCACAACTAAGGACACTTAAGTTGGTGGGTACTTGAATAGGTCTATAAATTTAAAGCATACCTGAAATCATCTCAATGGGCTTCGAACATCAGCAGGGTGGTCCCATTTCCTTCATGACCTGTCATGAGTATGACTGGAATGGCCATTTGTTGTTTAGTCACTAAACTCTCTTGTCTGACCCTTTGTGACCCCAGGGACTGTAGCCTGCCAGGCTCCTTTGTCCATCGGCTTCTCCAGGCAAGAATCCTGGAGTGGGTTGCCATTCTCTCTCCTGGAATGGCCATTTGCCTGAGGTCTTGTCTTGCCCCCTCTTTAATCCTCACCAGATATGGCTTCCAATGGGTAATAGGAAGAAAATATTAAGAAAAAAATATATATATATCCTTCTTTTTACTTTTCTATTTTGTGTCTGTCTTTGGAAACACAGGGAATATATTCTTACAGTGACACAATATATAAGTAATCCAGGAAGCCCTTTCTTTGGGTTTCCCAGGTGGTTCAGGGATAAAAGAATCCCCCGGCCAGTGCAGAAAACACAAGAGACACAGGTTCCATCCATGGGTCAAGAAGATCCCCTAGAGGAGGAAATGCTTGAGAACACTTCAGTATTCTTGCCTGGGAAATCCCATGGAGAGAAGAGCCTGGTGGGCTGCAGTCCACGGGGCCGCAGAGTCAGACGCGACCGAGCACATAGGCACACACGTATCGTATGTAATTAATAACCACTTATCTGTGGAGGTTGGGCTCTAATGCTTTTAGCTGATGGAGGGCAGTAATAGCAAAAACTAGGAGACGCTGAGACACTGCTTTAGACCAGTGCTTCTCAAACTTCAGTGTGTGCGTGGCTGGGAATCTTGTTAAAATGCAGATTGTGATCCACTGGGTGTGTGAAGGGGTACTGCATTTCTAACAAATTCTGGAGGGATGCCGCTACTGCTGGTTCACGGACCACACTTGGAGCACAAGTGCCAGAATTGTTCGGGAAACACACATCTATTTCCTTCGTTCCCTAGCTCAGTGCCCTGGAAACCTTTAGCGTAGTGGTTCTCAACGGTTCTCATCCTCCAAGGGAGGCAGTGTCTGCAGACATTTCTTTTAGTTCTCACAACTTGAGGAGAAGGGCTACTGGCATCTCCGGGGTTGGGAGGATGGCTCCAGCTAAACCTCCTACAGTGCTCAGGACAGCTCCCCCACGAGGAGTTATCCAACCAAAGATGTCAATAGTGTCAAGTTTGAGAAACCCTGGTTTAGATCAAGTTTAAGTTCTTAACAGGGTGCTCATTCCCCAGACTGACGGCTCTTTCTTTCCCTGCGCTCTGTGACCTAGCTTACCTTCTTCCGTCCACCTGGGAGCTCATTCCCTTCGTTTTCTACTAGAGAGACTCCTAGGCATCTTTAAATACTCAAAGTTCTCCTCACCTTCATGAAACCTTTCTTGACCTCCCAAATAAGAATTTAAAACACAGCGCTATTTATAATCCTGTCACAGCATCCCTTCGAGTCAGCCTTTTACTGTGGCAATACACTGAACAACTTGAGAGATGATCCACCTTAGGGCTTTTGTATCTCCTGAGGCCTCGGACAGTGCTTCAGAGCGTGTAGTTAGACTTTCAAGAAATGCCAGCTGATGTCCCCAGTTTTACATTGTCCTCAGGGCTCCAGGGACATTAGAATTCACCATGCTGCTAGCACAGTGGTCTACAGGCTGAGTGCCCACTCCAGCTCACTCACTGTCCTTTTCTGTACGGCTCATGAGCAAAGATTGGTTTTTAAACTTCTAAACAGTTGGAACAAAATGAAAAAAATAACATTTCCTGATGCGGAAATTGTGTGACATACTATTCCCAGTGCAGCTTTACTGACTTGAAGCCACTTACATTTGCGCACAAGTACGTGTGAGTGTTTTTGTATCACAAGGGCTCAAGGCAGAAACCCTATGGTCTACAAGTCTAAACTCTTTACCATCCAGCCCCTGACGGAAAAAGTTTGCTGGCCCCTGGTCTACGTGATCTGCACGCCAGCGCTATGGATTGTGTTCCTTAGACTGTGCTGAGAGTGACGGATGCAAACCTTTATCTGTTCCCTTTGGGCAGAACCACCTGTAGGCGCCAGCCAGCGAGTTAGTGAGTGGACATTACCATGCATTCCGTTGCTTTGTTTAAAAGTAATATCATTCCTGTCTACTTGGTTTGGGTCTTGAGCATAGGTATTGATGTTTTCTTCAATGTACCAGGATTCATTCTCATCAAAAGTCATGAAGAAGAGAACACGGTGAACTATGTTTTCTTTGGTGCCTTTTCGACATACAATCAAAGGACCTACCAGTCCGCTATTGAGATCCTGGAGAGACAAAGCAAGATGATGAACTGTGTCCACAACTAAAAAACGCCCCCAGACAAGGAGAAGACTGGGAACAAGCTTTAGTTTGAGTGAGGTTAGATCCTGAGTTTTGAATGATTAGGATTCTAACTCTGAACATAAGGAACAATATTTGACTTGCTAAATTCTTTTCCTTTTTTTTCAAATCAGAATTTCCACAAATAACTTATTAAATTCTTGATTGAAAAAAAAAATGATCATCTCACTCATTAGAGTTGAGCTCTAAAGTGAACAACAAACTCCTGAAAGGGATTTTAGACACATTCCTGAGTGGATTTGGCTTTATCTTTGAAATTTTAATTAAAAAACAGAACTTTGGTTTTAATTAGAATTCCTTTGTGGTAGAGTCGGTTGACAGATTTGTCTAAAGGTCTCGGATCCCCTTCCACCCATGATACATTTGTTCCTGCAGCCACTTTCTGTTGGGATCCCTGGTTTGTTTATATTTATTTTCTTTTGGGGTTGAGTGTCTGTGTCTGTTCTTGGTTTTGGTGGCGAGTAGGCCAAAAATAACGAAAAGGCCAAAGAAAGGAACTCTCTCTTTTTTTTTTTTTAAATACAAATGAACTGGACCTCGAGTTGAGAGTTTTTAAAAGATAAATACTGTGTATCCATTAATTTGTAACTAATTACAGAATTTTAAAACTTCATCCTTCATTTTCTGGAAACTAAATCTTATTCAAGAGGGTGTTATCATATAATTATACATATATATGTGTGTATCCCACATATATATATATTTTCCATATATATATTTATATATATTCCACTTCAATCCACAGTAACATGTTGGAAAATATCCTAAATCTAAGTAATCATAATGTAATAATTTATTTTGCTCTTGAAAAAGGCAAACTTGTGTAGAATTAAAAACTAAGCAGTATTTGGAAAGTTTACATAAAACTGAGATTGTATTTTAAAGAAAAATAAAACCTTTCTTTCATCATAATTTCTAAGAGGAGACAGTACAAAAACTGGAATTTGAAGTTTACCTTGACCATGTCCACAGTCGAATAGTAAAACCAAGGTATGCACTCAAAGTCATTTGAGGTAGGACCAGATCTTTCAGGAACCTGCCAAATGTATGTTCGGATCTCTCCTGAAATAGGTAAATGCAATGTGTTTAAACAGAACCTTTGAAACCACATTTCTTTATGGAAAACCAGAAATGAACGAACCCTAAAGCTACACGGACATTAAGCCGCATAGTCCCTGTCTTCACTCCTGGCTCCACGTCTTCTTGCCTTGTGATCTTAGTCGGCGTTTAAGCCGCATAGACCTTGTCTTCACTCCTGGCTCCAGGCTTCTTGCCTTGTGATCTTAGTCGGCGTTTAAGCCGCATAGTCCCTGTCTTCACTCCTGGCTCCACATCTTCTTGCCTTGTGATCTTAGTCGGTGTTTAAGCCGCATAGACCTTGTCTTCACTCCTGGCTCCAGGCTTCTTGCCTTGTGACCTTAGTTGGCGTGTTTACATGCTTTAGGCTTCTCTTTCTTCACGCACAGTCAGGAGGATCCCCTGGAGGAGGGCATGCAGCCCACGCCAGTGTTCTTGCCTGGACGATCCCGTGGACAGAGGAGCTTGGCAGGCTACGGTCCACGGGGTTACAGAGAGCTGGACATGACTGAGCGACGGACACTTTTACTTCACTTTGCTTTTCCCCGTGCACATAGATGGTAACTTAGGGATTAGACAAGATGGTGCGAAGGAAGCCCTTGGTGTTACATTGTCTGACCCACAGGGCAAGGCGGATGTCACTGTCAGTGTGGGCTGTTCCGTTCTCAGCATTACAGGATCAAAACTTTATAATGCGGGCTTCTCTGATGACTCAGCAGTAAAGAATTGGCCTGCCAATGCAGGGAACATGGGTTCAATCCCTGGTCCAGGAAGATCCCGTGTGCCAAGGGACAGCTAAGTCATGTGCCACAAATACTCAGCCAGGGCTCTAGAGCTCTAGACCCACAGGAGAAACCACCGCAGTGAGAAGCCCTGCCCTGCAACTAGAGGAAGCCCAGCACAGCCAAAAATCAATCAATAAATCTTAAAAAAAATCCTTTATAGTGATTCTGCCATTGAAAAATGCCAATTGTTAGACCTAATTCATTTGTTCAACAAATACTTATTGTAGTGAAGATAACTCAGTCTTTGGAATGTGACAGAATTGTTTTGAATCCCAGCTCCAAACCTTCCAATCTGAGGATTGCATGCACCTCCTTCCTCTCCCCACCTCCACGGCTGTTTGCATTAATTTGAACCTTCTTGACTCTTGCAGGAAAGTTCTTGTGGTCCCCACCCTCATCTTTCCCTTGCAGAGGTGTTCCCAAGCACCTGTGACATAGTCTTCCTTCTCCACTAACCAAGCCCATCCTCAGCCTCCCCAGTTCCAGATCTTTAACAATCATCTTAGTACTAGCCCTCTCTTGCCAGCCCACCGCACAGGTCCAGGAACACGGCAGGTACTCAGAGTGTTCATGAAACGCATGTAATGTGATCCTTTCCTGGCTAATCAGAACCAAGTGCTGACTTGCAAACTCCCTTGGCAGGAGATTCATCTTGGTCCCATGGTAGGACTGTCTGCTTTTAAAATCAAAAGGGAATGTTTCACCGATCAACAAAGTCTACCTTCAGTCTTTCTGTCCCACAAGTCTTTTTTCTTCTTCTGAATTTGACTCTGTCCTTGATACCCTTAATTCCCAGAACTACTTATTTTGACAGGCACCTTTAGACGACATTCTGCTGCTGCTGCTGCTAACTCGCTTCAGTCGTGTCCGACTCTGTGCGACCCCATAGGCGGCAGTAGGTTCTCCCTTTTCCTTAGCTGCTCCGCTCTTTCCCTGGCCTCCTCCCGCACACACTGCATTCTGTGCTCAGCTCCTACCTGGGCACTTGAGTTGGAGACACGGAACACAGCATAAATATTGACCGCTGGACAGGGAAAGAGGTGGAAGGGCTGCACGGAAACTGTACACACACGGCGCCCTGTCCGAGAAGCAAACTTCATCTGCAAGAGGAACCTCTCTCTCAAACTCGTTCTTCAGGCCCTTCTTGCTGTTGTTCAGATGCTAAGTCAGGTCCGGCTCTTTGTGACCCCACGGACTGCAGCTCACCAGGCTTCCTGTCCTTCACCTTCTCCCAGAATTTGCTCAGACTCATGTCCAGCGAGTCAGTGTTGTCATCCAACCCTCTCATCTTCTGTCGCCCCCTTCCCCTTGCTAGTCCACTCTCACCTGGAACAATACCCCTATTTAAGAAAGAACATTAGCCCCACAGTCTTGCATAAAAGCGTTGGGGTTTTGCTTTTCCCCAAAGCAGTTACTTGGCTGTGTTTGCTTATTCTCAGTGGGATAGTTTGTTTTCATTCCAGGAGTGGAATATCTTTCCTTCTGTTTGTGTTGTCTTCAAATTTTTTTCTCAGCATCTTATACTTTTCTGAGTACAGGTCTTTTACCTCTTTTGGTTGGTTTGTTCCTAGGTAGTTTATTCTTTTTGATGTGATTGTGAATGGGATTAATTTCTTAATTTGTTCATTAATTTCTCATTCTGATATCTTCTTGTTGGTGTATAGAAATGCAATAAATTTCTGTACGTTAATTTTGTATCCTTCAATTTTATCAGATTCATTGATGAGCCCAAGGAGTTTTTGCTGGTGGCTTTAGGATTTTCAACGTATAGTATCATGTCATCTGCAAACAGTAAGAGTTTCACTTGTTTTCCAGTTTTGGATTCCTTTTATTTCTTTTTCTAGTTTGCTGTGACTAAGACTTTGAATACTATGTTGAATAAAACTGGTGAGAGTGGGCATCCTTGTCTTGCTTCTGATCATAGAGGAAACACTTTCAGCTTTTCACTGTTGAGTATGATGTTAGCTGTGGGCTTGTCATATATGGCCTTTATTATATTGAGGTATATTCCCTCTGTACTCACTTTGTTGAGACTTTTTATCATAAATAGTTGTTTAATTTTTCAAAAGCTTTTTCTGCATCTATTGAGATGATCATATCCTTTTCGTCTTCAATATGTTGATGATTTGTTGATGTGATGTATCACATTGATTGACTTGTGGATATTGAATTAACCCAGGTGGCGCTAGTGGTAAAGAACCCGTCTGCCAGTAGGAGACATAAGAGATGCAGGTTTGATCCCTGGGTCAGGAAGATCCTTTGGAGATGGAAATGGCAGCCCACTCCAACATTCTTGCCTGGAGAATCCCATGGATGGAAGAGGCTGGCAGGCTACAGTCCATGGGGTCGCAAAGAGCTGGACACAACTGAAGTGACTTAGCACACATCCCTGGGATAAATCCCACTTGATCATGGTATATGATCCTTTTATTGTATCATTGGATTTAGTTTGCTAGTATTTTGTTGACGATTTTTGTATCTATGTTTATCAGTGATATTGGGCTGTGATTTTCTTTTTTTGTGGTATCTTTGTTTGGCCTTGGTATCAGGGTGATGCTGGCCTCATAGAATAAGTTTGGAAGCATTTTTTCATCTGCAATTTTTTGAAAGAGTTTGAGAAGGATAGGTGTTAGCTCTTTTCTAAAAGTTAGGTAGAATTCACCCATGAAGCCATCTGGTGCTGGACTTTGTTGTTATTTTTTCACCTGATTCAGTTTCATTCCATGTTTTCAATTTTTCTTCCTGATTCAATCTCAGAAGATTGCGTATTTCTAGGAATTTATCTATTCATTCTACGATGTCCATTTTATTAGCATATAATTGTTTGTAGTAATCTCTTATGATAATTTGTATTGCTGTGGTGTCAGTTGTAAGTTATCTTTCATTTTTTATTTTATTTACTTGCACTCACTCTCTTTTTTCTTGATGAATCTGACTAAACGTTTATCAATTTTGTTTACCTTTTTGAAGAGGTAACTCTTAGTTTCACTGATCTTTTCTATTGCGCTTAAAATCTCTATTTCATTTATCTCTGAACTGATCTTAATGTTTTCTTCTCTTCTACTAACTTTGATTTCATTTGTAAGTTGGAACAACCCATTATGGAAAACAATATGAAGGTTCCTCAAAAAGCCAAAAATAGAACTACTATATGATCCAGCAATTCCACTTATGGATATACATCCAAAAAAAAAGAAAACACTAATTTGAAAAGATGCATGGACCCCAATGTTCATAGCAGGATTATTTATAATAGCGAAGATATGGAAGCAACCTAAGTGTCCTTTAACAGATGAATAGATGAAGGAGATGAATATATATATATATTGATGAATATATATATACTTATACAATAGAATACTACTCAGCCATTACAAAGAATGAAATTTTGCCATTTGCAACTACACAGATGGACCTGGAGGGTATTATGTTTAATGGAATGTCAACTAGAGAAAGACAAATACTATACTATCACTTATATGTAGAATCTAAAAATAAGACACTAGCGAATATAACAAAAAAGAAACGGTCATAGACATAGAGGATAAACTAGTGGTCACCACTGGGGAGAGAGGGGAGGCGAAAGGCAGGATAGAAGCAGGGGTAAGAGGTACAAACCACTTTGTATAAAATAAATAAGCTGTAAGGATACATTGTACAGCACAGGGAATAAAGCCAGCCTTTCATAATAAATGGAGTAGGATTTATAAAATTTTGAATCACTATGTTGTACACCTGAATCTAGTATGATATTGTAAATCTGTTACTATACCTCAATAAAGAAAAAAGCATGGCGTATAGTAGGTATTTCACAAAAGAAAGAAGCAAACCAGAAAAGGGGGGAAAAGAGCGGACGTTATCCTCACAGTCCTGCATAAAAGCGTTGGGGCGTCTCTTTCTCCCAAAGCAGGTACCTGGCTGTGTCGCTGAAACAGTGGGGCTGTCTGTTTTCACGCCGTGAGCATGAATAGAATATGGTCTTGAGGCTTTATTTTTAAAGACAACATAGATTTTCTCACCAGGGCTGAGAAATATTATAGGACCTGGGAAGTAAAAAAAGAAAAATGGATGGATAGTTGTTATTTATTTTAAATTATGAGTCATCTTCCCCCTTAAATATATACACAGTGACTTATTATATTCCTTAACATGCAGCCAAATGAAACACAGACACATTTAACAAATGGATCATTGCTGGTTTATGACACATGGTTTTTGCCTGGAAAATTTAAATCATCTACAATTTTTATAAGCTCCAGTTCTGGAAAACTTATTTCAGTGAGCATTAGTTAATGCCTATGAAAACACACAATTTAGAAATGGAACATTTTCCTTCTTGACCAACCTCACCATTTAAACCTTTTATTCTTTCCCCCCACCTTTACCCTAGTGGAAGANTCATTGGAAGGACTGATGCTGAAGCTGAAACTCCAGTTCTTTGGCCACCTGATGCGGAGAGTTGACTCATTGGAAAAGACCCTGATGCTGGGAGGGATTGGGGGCAGGAGGAGAAGGGGACGACAGAGGATGAGATGGCTGGATGGCATCACCGACTCGATGGACATGAGTTTGAGTAAACTCCGGGAGTTGGTGATGGACAGGGAGGCCTGGAGTGCTGCGATTCATGGGGTCACAAAGAGTCGGACATGACTGAGCGACTAAACTGAACTGAACTGACTAAAGAGCTGGAGGTATATAATTTATTATAAAACTTCTTTCTATTTGAAGGCAGATAGAATTTGTGGCTCTAAAAATTCTGAAACAGAGATGGTTTTGAGATGAACTAAGGCTTCCCTGATGGCTCAGTGGTAAAGAATCCACCTGCCAATGAAGGAGATGCAGGTTTGATCCCTGGGTTGGGAAGATCCCCTGGAGGGGGAAATGGCAACCTACTCCAGTGTTCTTGCCTGGGAAATCCCATGGACAGAGGAGCCTGGGGGGCCACAGTCCAAGGGACTGCAAAGAGTCCTACACCAGTTAGTGACTAAACAACAACAATAAATCAGACAGAACTCTCCTTAAACACGGGCTTAACTATTAATATCAGAACCCCGAAGAGACCTGGTAGATACCAGATACTAATGAAGTAAAGCACCTCTTTGCCTCCCGTGGCAATTCTACCATCTCAAACACTGTGCTTGCTTTTCCTTCTCTAAAAAGTGGGTTGTGTGTGTGTGTGTGTGTGTGTGTGTGTAAATAAAGGAATCTAGAGGGTCATATTGTGCTATCTTAGTGCATTTGGCCAGAATCCTAGAGAAAACAAATATAACACTGCTACTTTTTTTGAAGGGTCCATTCAAAAGCACTGGGAACTGAATACCACAGACCTCCCTCCAGGGGTTGTGAAGCCCAAGAGGCTGATGCGGAGCCAAGAAAAGTAAAAATTCCTCCTTGCCAGCTGGCATATCCATCTTCTCAGGGTGCCTTGCCAGAATATGGCCTCCAATAGACACACAGGTATCATGAGAGAAATAAGATCTGGGCGTATGGATATACCTTGTGACCTCTGGAAATCCTATGCAGTGTATGGACGTGCCATCTTCCATAACAAACGAATACACTGTGTGAGCTCTGGAAGTGCCGTGTGACTTATAGAAATGTTACATGTGGGAGCCTGGGAGGCATTACAATTTTTCTAGCTGATCTGTCAAAGGTGGAGGCACGGGCTATATTTTTCTCACTCCTGGACAGAAGATGAAATTAAATCTTGAGCAATTAACTGTTTAAACACTTAAATTTAAACAAAGAAGGCCCCCTCCTAACTATATGAGGGTTTCTGGCATTTGTTTTAATTTCAAAGAAATTATCTCTAAACGTTATTTCTAAGGTCCCTCCCAGAATCTTGGGATTCTGTGTGCAGGAAGCCAGATAATCTGAGACTAACCATATTCATTGTCTATGATAGCTTTGTTTTCCATTTAAAAATATTTGAATCCGTTTTCTTTTACCAATAAAAGTATCTACCAGCAAACAAATTAAAGTTAGAATTGTAGGCATTTTTCTCCATTGAGGTAGAAGTTGACAATATCCTTAGGTCGGCAACAATTTCCAGTGGTTGAGGACAAGATGACAAACCCCAAAGCAATCTTCTAGTGCATCAATACCTAGTATGTCCAGATGTATTTCATCTTCATTTCGTACTGTTTGATTTGTGAATGTGATGTCATCATATTGGCGGTATACGACCTTCTTGTATTTGGACCCAAGATATGTCTCAACTCTATCCAAGTATATGTTTGTTTTGCTTTGAGAAAATAAAAACAAAAAATCACAAAGTTAATTAATTTAACCATTAAATTATGCAAATTCTCATATGGAAGAACTTACTGGAATAATGCAATTTATTAATATCTAGAGTCTATTTTACCTTAGAAATTCATTTAATTTAAAAAATATATATATTTATTTTGGTAAGATTGTTGGATATTCATCCTGTACCTTAAAACATGTTTTTTAGCATGAAATTCAGCTTTGATCAAATGAATAAATAGTAAGAGAGAAAAATCAGAGAAAGATATCAAATTTTACTCAAAAAGAAAAATTAGTGTCTTCAATTTGAGGTTCATAGAAGAATAGCAATAGCCGGAAACAAATGAAGACAAAAACACTTTGACGGATTCCAAAGGTTAAATGTAGCTGAAATTATACTTATTATACCTTAAAGTGGTGACATTGGATGGTAAAACACATAAGGAAGAGAGAAGACAAGAAGTGAAAAGCGAGACAGCAGAAACAGCAAAGCAGAATTAAGGTATGTTAATGTTTGGAAAGATTAGAAGTATTTATAGCTGAAGACATCACACACACATTTTGAAGTTATTTGTAATTGAATGTGTCCTAAACTACACATGCCACACACATACCACACACAAATAAATACATACCACACACACGAACACATGCACGCACACAGATGCACACACGTGCATGCGCATATGCATGCACACACATGAACACACACATGTGCGCGCACACACATGAACACACACGGGCACACGCACGCACGCACATGGATACGCACACGTGTGCGCGCACACACACGCGCGCGCGCGCGCGCGCGCATGACTGAAGACTACAGAATAAACCCTGCCCAATTAGAGGTGGAAGTCACCGCCATACTTCTGTCCTTGGAGACGTTGCAGTTCTCTCTCCCAGCCCCTGCTAGGAGAATAATCCCACACAACCTCCTCTGCTGAGATATAAATAACCTTCGCCTCCTGGTACTGTGTTTGATCGGGGTTTGGCTCTGCACACTCCCTCACTTGGTATTTATGTTTCATGCCTCCAATATAGTGCTCTGAGGTCATACACACCACATCAAAAATGCCTAGAGGGGAATAAGAAAAGAATACTTAAGGCACTGCATTCAGATTTCTTTTCTCTAAGTCATCTATAAGAAATAAATCCCCCGGAGAAATACTATAAGATAGTCCATTCATTCTTTCACTAATTTGACAAGTACTTATTGAGTATCTTCTTTATGCCAGGCATATTTCCGGGCACTTGGGAAACATTAATGAATAAAATAGGTAAACATTCTTGCCCTTGCAGTTTATATTGCAAGGTGTTGTAGAGACAGACAACCAACCTAGTAAGTAAAACTGATGTGGGTTGGAAGGTGGTAAGTGCTATGGATTAAGGAAAATGTAAGACAGTGTAAGGAGTATTGAGAATTCTGGATGAATATGTGGAGAGACGGGGCAATGAACAACATTTTATCCGATGATCAGGGTAGGTCTCGATGGGTGAGTGACATTTGGGCAAAGATTCACAAGAGGTGGATGGTGGATCTACAGGAAGGGCGATCCAGGAAGAGGAAATAGATAGCATCATTCCCTGCTGAGGGTCTGATTGGTGTGTTTGAAGGCCATCTAAGAGGCCTGGGGGTCTGGGTTAGGGTGAGCACGGCTGAGGGTACTAGGAGCCAGGATCGGTGGGGGATGGAGGACAAGTCACACAGGCCCTCGTGGGCCGCTGAAAACTCTGTAAACTTAACTCTGAGTCTACGAGTGACCTAAGAACATTCTGGCAGTTGTGCTGATAACAGACTAGAGTGGGCAAGGGAAGAAGGAAGGAGACTTGGTAGAAGGCTCTTACAATAACCCACAACAGGTGATGACGGTTGGATCAGAGAGGTAGTGTGGGGGTAGTGAGGAAATCAGAATAATATGTTATTACTAAGAACCCCAAACAATGACCACAACGAAAACAAACCACCTCAACCACAACAGCGACAAACTCCAGCATGGATCAACCCAGAAAATTGCACCTAAATTCCAGCGGTCTTTTATTTTGGTAATTTTAGGCCCTTGATGGTCTGACTTTGTTTCTGTGAATACTGATATCACCTTCATCAGCCCTAGCATTTTCTCTCGGCTCTGCACGTGCTTCTGAGGTTATGGTCACTTTCCGTGGAGGCGAGGAGCGAAGAAGACGGGCGTGGAAGCACACTCTTCAGACTGAGAGGGTTGGGGAAAGAGGACATGTTTAGAAAACAGTGAGTGCATATGGCACAGTGCTGGACATGGCCGTGTGTTTACTGCGGCGGACACTGTTTGCGAAAGAGGAGAAAAAGCAGACTACTCTGTTTTTAAGACCTCAGGGTAACTTCTACAGGGAAAAGGAGAGGAGGAAGTGGGAGGGGAATGGGTGATAACCTGCCGCCAGGTGAGTGAGGGCAGCAGAAAGAGAGAGCGGTGAGGACCCCCCAACGGTGTTCTTCACAGAACCAGAGCAAATAACTTCACAGTTTGTATGGAAATACAAAAACCCTTGAATAGCCAAAGCAATCTTGAGAAAGAAGAACGGAACTGGAGGAATCAACATGCCTGACTTCAGACTCTACTACAAAGCCACAGTCATCAAGACAGTATGGTACTGGCACAAAGACAGAAATATAGATCAATGGAACAGAATAGAAAGCCCAGAGATAA